GGAGGAAGGCTGTAATGTGTAATCGTAATAGAGTAAACAATAAATAATTGAATTATTTCTTCTACAGCCTTTCAATTTACAATTTATTTACATTGGTTCATTTGAAGATTTTTAAGTATTACCTCCATTGCACCACCCTCTCTATACAAAGAAACACACAGAGTGCTACCTTAATACATTTTACCAGCTTTTTTTTGCAACCTTATAGAACATGTTAATTGCTTAACGCAAGGTTACAGTGCTGGTTTCAAAGAAGCAATCACTGTTAATAATAATTGACATTTCTGTTGTGCTTCAATGTATTCAAAGGGCTTTACATACATTATTTCATTGGTCATAACAACCACGTGAGGAAAGGACCTCAGGTATCATTGTCCCCATTGAACGGATGAGAAAACTAAGGCTCTGGAAGGTTAACTTGACACTACCTTCCTTGCAGTCACCCAGGTTCCCAACCTGGAGTCATCCTTTGAACAGTCCTTCTCCCTCAATCACTCCCCCGACCCTCCCCCCTTTCCAAACATCCAAATGTCAGTTTCAGCCTCTTAACCTCTTTTCATCTGTCCCCACTTTTCTGCTCATCTCACATCCACCCTAAGACAGACCCTCATCATCTCTCCTCTAAACTATTAAGACAGCCCCCTAATTATTTTCCTTCTCTTTTCTTTCTCTAATTCACCTTCCTCATCTTCACCTTCCTTTCTTTAATTTGCCTTCCACATAGTGACCAAATTTATATTCCTAAGCACAGATCTGACCATAACACTCTTCTGATCAAGAAGCTGACTTGGTTTCTCATTGTCTTTAGTATAAAATGCAACTTGCTCTTTACACTCTGCTTCAGTCTATCTTTCTAGCCTAATTACACTTCCCCATGTTCCCCTTCTTACCCCCCATGGTAATTGGCCTACTTCCTGTCCCTCATACCCAACGTTCCATCTTTCCAATCTTCATGCTTTCCATAGACTGTCTCCCATGACAGGAATATGGGCTATAAGTAACAAATTAGGGAGTGGTCATGTGTGGGCTGCTCGTCTTCATTTCTATGGCTGGGAATAAATAAAGCTTATGGTGTAGTAGATGCCTAGGGTCAAGAAGACTCATCTTCCTGAGCTCAAATCTGGCTTCAGACACTTAGAAGCTGTGTGACCCTGGGCAAGTCACTTCACCCTGTTTACCTCAGTTTCCTCATTGGTCAAATGAACTGGAGAAGGACATGGTAAACCACCCCAGTGTCTCTGTAAAAAAGACCCCAAGTGGGGTCATGCAGAGTTGGACACAATTGAAATGACTGAACAACAACAACAAGTCAAGAACAGGAAGACACTGTTGGGGGAGACAGCAGGAAAGAGCTCTGGATCTGGAGGCAGATGACCTGCGTGCCAAGCCCATCTCTGTTATTTACTCTCTGGGTGACCTTGGATAACTCACCAGCCTTCGCTGGGACTCACTTCTTCAACTGAAAAATAAGCAAGTTGGATTGGCCTCTTCGATCCTTTCCATCTCTAAATCTATGACCCACTATGTAGTATTTGCAGAGTCAAGTAGTTCAGTAGAATGTAGGGGTTCTGGAAATCTTGCCCCTAATAGAGAGATCAGACAGAGCCCTGTGACTGGTTGGTCATTAGGAAATAGGGCTAGGAATCAGAACCTGCCTGCCACAGAGGAAGATGGTATCTTAATGGGTTTGTAACGGAGGTAAGGGGAGGTATCTGGAAATTCCTTAAGGAATTGAAGAGGTTTAGGACAGGGTCATAAGGTAATTTCAGGCATGTTGAGTAGGAACATCTCTATCTGAGTAACTCTAATCACCACAGATTCTGACTCAACATCATAGGGCTTAGCAACAGTTGAATTGGTTTTAAGCAGGCAGGGAGACAGTCATGTAATTTCTTAGAGTCAGCTCTATGACAATCTCACAAGAGTCTGATCCATCACAGGTGGGAGATGATAAAAAAAAATGCTAGGTTTGTGTTAGGAAAACCTGGGTTTGAATGCGGCCTCTGACACTTTTAATTTTACAATGAGGGGTCAGGCACTTCTTGAAACCTCAGTTTCCAAAGATCTAAAATGAGGATGATGTTTGTAGTCCTGACCTTCTTAGGACTATTGTAAGGTTCAAATAAGATCGTCTGTGCAAAAAATTTTATAAATGTCAGCTAATGCAACAATAAAAACTATTTGGGGGTTCTGGCTCATGTGTCTAGCAAATTAGAGGCCTAGGTACTTTTTCTGATCCTCATGGATGGAGGGGAATAAACATTTACAAAGCATCTGCTATATGCCAGGCATTATGCTAAGTGCTTCATAAATATTATCTCATTTGATCCTCACAAGATCCCGGTGAGATAAATGCTGTTGTTATCCCCATTTTACAGTTGAGGAGAAATATAGTGAGGCATACAGAGGTTAACTGCCCAGTGTCACATAGCTAGCAAGTATCTGAAGTCACATTCAAACTCAAGTCTTCCTGACCTCAAGCCCGGCGCTCTATCCACCGTGCCACTCAGCTGCCTAGGCGGCCACCTCGCAAATCTCTCCAAAATAGGAATTATGCACAAAAGGTAAGGCAATTTCAGCTGTCTCCATGGTCTAAGACACCAAGAACTCTAATGAGATAACAATCTAATGAAATAACAGCAAAGAAGTTTAATCCCTACCCTTGAATGCACTAACTCAGAACCTGCTCCAACATCAGCCACCATATTCTGGCAGGGCTGCCCAAGCCAATCCAGGGATTTGCAGTAGAACTCACCTTTGCCGACCACCTCCTGCCTATGCCCCAGAAAACCAAAAAAATAGAAGGTTGCTCTGGTTGGAAGAGCAGTATGGCCGTGCTATGTGTTTCAACAGAGGTCAGGTAGAGAACGAAGGAAAAAAAGGAAACTGGGGCAGGATGCCAGCTATATGTGTGGTCCTAAGCTTGAGGGAAAGGGCCCAACATCCAGCTGAGGCTAGCTCTGTGCCCCCTGAAGTCATTTGCGGCAGAGACTGATTCCCCAGAATGGGAGAAGTCTGAGTCAGCTTTGAGATACAACTCTAATTACAACTGCCAGTAAAAAGGGAAAAAGTCAGAAAATGAGCAATAGGAGAATATAAAGGTAAGCAGAGAACCTAAAAAAAAAAATTACCAAAGATCTCAGGAGAAATAAAATTCAGAATAAAGAAAACAAAAGACTTTGAGCATAAACAGATACACCAACAAGAAAGATATTAATAAAAGGAGGGAATAAGACCTCCAGAGCAACTAAATAAACATAGATATATACAAATAAACACTGTAAGACAACAGGAAATGAATCAACACGTGAGGCAGAGGACTCTGTGGATTCCTATGAGAGCATGGAACTCTACCAGAATATTCCCAAAGAGAAAAAGTAAATGTGAAACTAGAATTTATGGCCTGTCCAGCAGAAATAATCAGCAAAATTTAAAAAAAACAACTTGCATCAGTGGTTGCAAATCTCACCAGAGAAATACGAAAACAACCTATTTACAATGCAAATACAAGTGAAAGAAGTGAAATACAATTGGGGAAAAAAAGAATCAAAAGGCAGCAATGTAGAAAGAAAACATGATCTCTACACAAGTGAAAGAGTGATTTCAAAGACAGAATATATAGAGACAATTTAAGGTTACAGACAGTAGTGTACTCAAATTGTTTGTATGGCTCTAGAGAGCTGATCAATAAAATTTTGATTTAAAGTGTTAATATTTACACCTCGGGTTCTGGCAAATGCTACAAATCAGGGTTTGTTTTATTGCTCTGTTGATTGTCTAGTTTAAGGAAGTGATGGAGAAAATGTTAATAGTGAAGCTTAAACTTAAAAGTGCCAGATGAGAACTTTTTTTTCCCCCAAGAGCTAGTTGTTAAACATTTACCAGCATACCCCTGTTGCAGCTGAACTGCCCTGGTTTTCTTCCTGTGCTAACAACTAGGATCAGAAAAATGTAGCTCAGAATCTGGGTGGGGAAAGCAAAAACAAGTTCTGTGATCTCTGTGAGGGCAAGGACTATCACTTTTGGATCTGTTGGCCATATAAACATAGAGCAGAGGAGCAATGTGGTATAGAGGATTAAGCTCATTTTGGATCAGCTTCAAGTCCCACCACTGACACAAGCTGGCTTTGTGACCCTGGGCAAGTCATTTAACTTCTTATAAGGACTCTTTGCTGTTCAGTTCTTTTCAGTCAGGTCTGATTTTTTGTGACCCCCATTTGGGGTTTTCTTGGCAAAGATACTTGAGGGCTTTGCCATTTCCTTCTCCAGCTCATTTTATAGATGAGGAAACTGAGGTAAAGAGGGGAAAGCAACTTGCCTAGGGTCACACAGCTAGTAAGTGTCTGAGGCCAGATTTGAACTCAGGAAGGGTCTGGTTCCAAGCCCATTGCTCTACGCGCTATGACACGAACTAGCTGCCCTCTAAAGGCTCTAATCAACTGTTTTTAAGATTATAAACCACAGAGGAGGTGCCAAGCTGAACTGGTAGAGGTAATTGCTTTATTTGGGGTGAAGATGAAATCACATGTCCAGTCCCTATCCCTATTCCTGGGGTCTCATGTACAACAGAAGTTTAATAAATGTTTGTTGATGGATTTATTCCCAGCAGCAAAAGGGCAGTTAGTCCCCCCCCCCCCATCCTTGCCCTTAAGAGGTGACAGCCTATCTCTCTATGCTGTTAGACTGCACATGGCTTTTGGATACAGCCTGTTTCGGCTTGAGGATACTGTTGGAAAGTGAAAGAAGTAAGGAATCTTGAAACTTGGGACTCTAGGAGGCAAAGGAAGAAGACCAAAACATTAGAAAATACATGAATTTTATAGGAATGCCTTTCCTTTGTCTGGTTCCCTCTCTCCTCCTGCCCTTTCCCTCCCTCCCCCACCCAAAGGTGTTCCCAGGTTTGTTTGTTTTTTTTTTTAAAAAGATGGTAACTCTGCACTTTCTGACAATGAATAAGTAACAGGAGCAGAATAGTTTGAAGTTTTTTGGATTCTACTTACTGGCATTTTCTCTGGAATGAAGAAAGGAATTGAGCAGGTACACTCTTTGTAGAAATTAGAGGCATTTTCCCTCAGTTTCGAACAATTTGAGCATAAGTCTGTATATGTAATCTTTAAGCCAAACAAACAAAAAAAGAGATATATGGCAGTCCATTAGAAAGGGAGGTGACTCTATGTCCTAGAGCTTCCTGCCAATTTGCCTCATTCCCAGTCTCCATCTCCTGAGTTATTAAGTCCCTTTGCAGTAGAATGGACTTGAAGCTTATCTCCTCCAATTCCCTCCTTTTACCAAATATGGAGAAGAGAAATGACTTATCCAAGATCTCATGACCAGTAAGTGGCAGAGCCAAGTTTTAGGCCTATGGTGGGTTTGGGGAGCTCATTTTGTCAATCCTCTTCCTCTTTGTCAGGCAAGGCTGCCCTTAAACCATTACATAAAAATAAGAGGCCTTTCTACTCTGAAAAACCTCTAGGGAAAGGGATGTTACAAGCTTTTCTGGAAGGCTGTCCTGGCCCATTAACTGCTCATTATCAGGAAACTTCCTTGTACTTAACCTAAATCTCTGGGGCTGAAATTTCCTCTTATTCTGTCTGTAGTGGAGATAGAGGCACTAAAGGAGTCCTGGAGGATCTGAAAGCCCTCATTAATCACCCCTTTGGTGACTCTTTCAGCCTGAATAGTCTCAGTTGCTTGATTTAAACTTTTCTTATCACTCTTATTCACAGTTGTAATATAGCTAATATTTCTACATATTATATAGAATATATAACATTAAATAATAGACATCACATCACAACAATTACATTCTATATTAAATATTATATAATGTACTATTAGAAATACTATAATATTATACACAATATGTAACAGAGTATATTATCTGTAATAAATTATATATACATATATTTATCTATATATAAATATTATTTATATCATAGACCATAATGTAAAATACATAACATACAGTGTTTCTATAGTTCTATAGGTTTATAAAACACTTTACACATATTGCTCCTTTGATCCTCACAACAACTCTATGAGGATGGAATTTCCTTATTTTACAGATGAGGAAACTGAGGCAGAGGTTAAGTGACTTGCCCCAGAGTCACAGAGCTGATTAAGTGCCTGAGGTAGAATTTTGACTCCTAGCCTAGTACTCTCTACACTCTGCCACTTAGCTGACACATTACTTCTCCAGTCTCATGCCTTTTAAAGTTGTCCATCAAGTCTCGTTATCCCCACAAAACTGCCTGGCTTGTTTCTCCAATGCTAGTTCACTAGGCTGTTTCCAGGAGCAATAGACCCTATGTCCTCCCTCTCTGCTCCCTGGTATCTGGGAAGATACCAGGTAGAGGGAATGCCAGTGGTTCAGTGTCTCTGCACCTCTGATTTCCCAGCACAGTCCCAATTTCAAAGTAAGAAAATAGGCTTTTAATGAGCAGTCACAAGTGGACGATCCTCTGTCAGAATACATGCCCCAATTTTTGATTCAGAAAAAGTTACAGAATCCTCTGTAGTGCTGGGGCCTCAGAGGCCAGCGATTCCAACCCCCTCATTTTACAGATGAGGAAACTGAGGCCCAGGGAGATTAAGTGACTTGCTCACTTAGCAAATATCAGAGGCAGGATTTGAACCCAGGTCATCTGAATCCACAGTCATTGCTCTTGCCATTTCCACAGAGAAAAAACTAGTAATGGCTAGTTTATTTAAATTGTGATAAGATAATTTTTGTGTTCTGCTAAGATAATTTAAAACATTCTTCTCTAATATTTATTCTGCATATTGTCTTGACCTAGTGACATGCTCTTGACACATATCTGGTGATCTCTCTCTCTCTCTCTCTCTCTCTCTCTCTCTCTCTCTCTCTCTCTCTCACACACACACACACACACACACACACACACACACACACACAAAATCAACCTGGATATCTATCTAGATATCTATATATCACCAGCATGTGCATACACGTACATATGTTTACATACATATATATGCATGTACATACATATCTACACATATATGTATGTACACGTATATCAATATATGTACACATATATTTATGCACATATGCATACACACATAGGTTTATACATATATGTATATACACAATATACACTTATATGTATACATATGTGTATAAATATGTGTGTATGCATATAAGTGTATATTGTGTATATACATATATGTATAAACCTATGTGTGTATGCATATGTGCATAAATATATGTTTACATACATATATATGCATGTACATACATATCTACACATATATGTATGTACACGTATATCAATATATGTACACATATATTTATGCACATATGCATACACACATAGGTTTATACATATATGTATATGCATATGCGCATAAATATATGTTTACATACATATATATGCATGTACATACATATCTACACATATATGTATGTACACGTATATCAATATATGTACACATATATTTATGCACATATGCATACACATAGGTTTATACATATATGTATATACGCAATATACACTTATATGCATACACACATATTTATACACATATGTATACATATATGCATGTACACACATATTGCACACATATGTGTATGCATGTATATGCACACGTTTTTGCCTTAATAAAATATTCATTTTTCCAATTACACATAAAAACAATTTTTAACACTTAAAAAAAAATTTGGATTCCAAATTCTCTCCCTTCATTCATCGCTCTCTCTCTCTCTTTACTCCATCTAATCTTCTCATTAGATTTGTATATCTAGAACTTATTTTCAGTCTCGATAATACTGTATCATTAGCCAGATTCCAGCCTCCTTGAGCCCCAACCATCACTGTGTTACAAGACACTCTGTAGTCTTCCTGAGTTAGAGACTGACATACTATTTGCTGTTTTTTCAGTTTTGCCTGTTTGGGCTTATGGGGAAACAGAATATCTATTTCCAAAAGGTTTAGCAATATTGATGGTAGTGATGATAGTATGGTTCTTATGGTCAGACACTGCCATTAGTTCCACTAGGTTGTTGGCAGGGCCAGCCACTCACTAGCAGTATGGTTGGGGTAGGTGACATCATACCTTAGGTACCTAGGCACAGTGAACAGAGCACTGGACTTGGAACCAGAAAGACTCATCTTCCTGAGTTCAAATCCAGTCTCTGATACTTACTAGCTGTGCAACCCTGGGCAAGTCACTTAACCGGGCTTGCCTCAGTTTCCTCATCTGTAAAATGAACTGGAGAAAGAAATGGCAAAGCACTCCAGTATCTCTGCCAATAAAACCCCCAATGGGGTCATGGAGAGTTGGACACTACTTAAAATGACTTAATCCATCACATCATACCTCTCTGGGTTTCTCTTTCCTCATCCATAAAATGAGTAGGTTGGACTAGATCTGGTGTTTGTCAGCTCTGAAATGTTGGCTCTTAGTTGTGATTTAGAGCTGTAGGAAAGGGTCACAAAAATATAGCAACTCTACCTCCTCTTCTGTCTGGAACCAAATCATTAGAAGCTCATTCCTTTTGGTGGACAAACTCTTTTTAAAAAATGCTAATGCTGGGGCAGCTAGCTGGTGCAGTGGATAGAGCACCGGCCCTGGATTCAGGAGAACCTGAGTTCAAATCCGGCATCAGGCACATAACACTTACTTAGCTGTGTGGCCCTGGCAAAGTCACTTGACCCCATTGCCTAACCCTCCAAAAAGATGCTAATGCTTTGGCAGAAAGGTTCTTAATTTTTTTTTGGTCATGGACCCCTTTGGCAATTTGCTGAAGCCTCTGGACCCCTTCTCAGAATAATGTTTTTAAATGCACGAAATAAAACACATAGAATTATAAAGAAAACTGATTATACTCAAATACAATTATCAAAAATATTCCACCTCCTGGCTTCCTCTAAGTCTCAGCTGAAGTCCCACTTTCTACAAGACTTTCTTGTTCCTCTTTAACCTGAAGAGCCTTTCCTCTGAGATTTATCTTGTATGTATTTTGTTCATACCTAGCTGTTTGCATGTTGTCTTACCCATTAGATGTGAGCTTCTTGAGAGCAGGGACTGTCTCTGTTTTTCTAACTATACCTTAGCATTTAGCATAGTGTTTTACCACACTTAATACGTGTTGTTTCTTTTTTTTTTCTTTCTCTCTCTCTCTCTCTCTCTCCTCTCTCTCTCTCTCTCTCTCTCTCTCTTTCTTCCTTCCTTTCTTTTTCTTTCTTACTTTCTATTTCTTTCCTTCCTCCCTTTCTCTCATCATTCATGGAAGATGCCCTGCATGAAGCCCAAACAAAAGGATGCCCTCTTGAGATGCAGATTCACCAAATGCTTCTGCCCGATGATGGAATGGCACTAATTATATTGAGCACAGGACATTCTATAGCTTCTCCACTGAAATCCAGAGCAATGCGAATTGTCCACATAGGCATAAAACATGAACAGGCAGCAGCAATAACATTGCACTCCTTGTATAGAGGAGGTAGGAGCTCCCACTTGTAAGAAAAGCTTTTTAACGAGGATGAGATCCCACCTGTAAGATGGCCATACACATAAAAAGGGTGCTACTGTAGAAAAATGACGTCCCAGGCATTAGAATAACAGAAAGAGAGAGTCTCACTCAGCAAGTCTGTGGTCTGGTTTGGTGCTAGAGGCCTTCTAGTGACTTGACCAGCTTCAGCAACCCAAAGAAAGCCTCAGTGCTGGCCTGCAGCTGTACTACTTTCCCAACCCTGGTTGTAAGCATCTTGAGGGCAGGGACTTTCACCTCTTTTTGTATCCCTACGGTTTAGCACCCAAGTGCTTAATAGTATTTTATTGATTGATACTATATAAGGTTTCTCTCTAAGTCACCTTCCTTAAATTATTCTAGTTTCTGATTTTAGTGGTCTTGGAATCAGGAAGACTTGGTTTCCAGTCCCACCTCTGACACATGTTGGCTATATGACCCTGGGTAAGTCACTTACCATCTCAATGCCCCCAGCCCAGTTTTTTTTTTTTGGTGAGGTAATCAGGGTTAAGTGACTTGCCCAGGCTCACATAGCTAGTAAGTATCAAGTGTCTGAGGCCCACATTTGAACTCAGTCTCCGAGGCCAGAGCTCTATCCACTGCTACACCTAGCTGCTC